GAAACTCTTTGGCTTCACCATACATTTGAAGAGTGACAGGGCAGGCCCTGTTTTGTTGCCTCCTTATTAAAAACGACAATAATGATGGAATATTAAATTCCCAATAGCCTGGAGCATCCCAAGTTTTACTTATTGAACCATGGCTGCAAAAATAAAACTCGAGGCCGGCCCCGTGGCTTGGTGGTTAAGTGAGTGCGCTCCGATGCTGGTGACCCGGGTTCGGATCCCGGGCGCGCACCGAGGCACCACTTCTCTGTCCATCCTGGGGCCGAGTCCCACATACAGCAACTAGAAGGATGTGCAGCTATGGCATACAACTATCTACTGGGGCTTTGGGGGGAAAAAATAAATAAATAAAAAATCTTTAAAAAAATAAAAATAAAAAAAATAAAACTCGACAATAGCTAGCAACTACGTGGCCATGTCCCCCTGTAGTGACAGACAGTTATGCACGAAGGCAATTATAGAAAGGCCTTCTACAGCAACAAAAGGATTTAACCATAATTAACAAAAAAGCTGTCTGTTGTGGATTAATAATGACACCTTCACCCCACCATTTAAGAAACCTTCTTTATTCACGTGCACTGCATATTATGTAGTGTTGGGATAGAAACATTCTGAATTATGTGATTCATTAATTGTTGTGGCCTGGAGATAAGCATAAGAGCTGCAGTAGCCAGTAGCCATATGTGGCTACTCCACTAGAAATGTGGCTAGTCCTACACATTGAAATGATAATATTGTGGATATACTGGGTCAAATAAAATATATTATTAAAATTAATTTCACCTGTTTCTCTTTACATTTTTTAATGTGGCTCCTAGAAAATTTAAAACAATGGATGCGGCTTGTGTTTTATTTTTACTGGAGAGTGTTGCCCTAGAGGCTTGGTGATCACTTAATAACGGCAACCAAAAACCCACCTAGTATCTCCCTAGCACTTCCTGCAGTGCCAGGCAGTCTAGGCATTCTACACACATTCCATCATTTAATCTTTGTAATGACTCCATGAGGTGGGTATTATTATCATCCCCATTTTACAGATGAAAATCGAGGTACTGAGTAGCAGAGTAGTTGAGTAATTTAGCTGAAGAATGGAGCCCGGAATGGAACCCAGGCAGTTTGGCTCCAAATGGAACATAGTCTTAATTCAAAAGAGCTGCTCCACCCTTTATGACAGAGATAACGTTGGTTAAAAAAACAGTCATGCAAATAATCCTCTCCTATCCACTCCAGCTTACCGTTAGAAAGAAAAAAAAAACACATCAAACATCCAAAAGCAAACAAACTAGACATGTTCAGACTTATTTATTGCCTTTCTGATAGAGCCCCCAAGAAGCACTTAAATAAAACTCATGCTCGGGAAAATTATGGACAGTGTCATATTTTAAACTACAGGAGGCAAATAGTCCTGGAAAGGGAAGGTTGGGATAGTCTCCAATGGCCAAAGCACCATCATTTGAGAGCCACTGTTCTGAAATAAAACACACCCTAGTACACTAGACTCAAAACGATCATGTTCTTTGACTGATCATGAACACAATGCTCCTTTGACCTACTAACACCAGGGCTGAGAGTACTACCATTTTGTTTTGGTGACAAAGTCATGGCATGATTTTTGCCTGACATTTACAGTAGATTATTCTGTGGAGTCACATAAGCCATGCTGACTGCTGGCCAACCAAGCCAACATGTGATTCCATTAGCAACACCGTATTTAGAGCCAGATTATCACAAAGGCCAGAGCCAGAGTTCACCGGCTATAGGGCTGGTTTGAATGTCCAAGTAGACTCACAAAAGAGAACAAAAGAGGAAAAATAAGTAGTTTCTCATAATTACTGTAGAAAGTTTCAAAGAAATCCACATCACATAAGTCAACAGTTTTTGCTAACCACTATATTTTAGGGTGAACATGCTCTCATTTTCACTGCTTCCAAGCACCGAGACTGGGTAAGAGAGACGAAGAGAGAGGAGACAGAGACTTTGGAGAAAGAGAAGTATCAAGGACCAGGAATGTTTTCTTTCTGATAGAAGCAGACATGGAATTCTGTCTACTTGGCTTTTTGGAATTGGCTGTTCCCCTTTCTGAAATGAACATTCTGTGCTAACTTCAGAAAGAATGTTGGCAGGGTCAGGGTGGGAAGGTCTCAAGCGATAATACTTGGATGGCTAATGCCTTCCTTTCCAAGGGCTGACACAGCTGTGACCTCTACGCAGCTTGCCAGCAAGAATCCAGTTTGGCCACATGAAAATGAGTTGTTTTCCTCCCTCGGGAGAGAGATAGGGATACGTGAAGCTGTGCCTGATAAAAGTAAAATATTATCTGAAGATGGTTTATAGTAAAGAAACTGGGAGGCCAATATGATTAATGTATTTCTTCACTATTTCCTTGAAACCATAATACCTACAGAGAAGTCATATATTGGAAGTCACAGAGAAAAACTCTTTCCTGATTTCTTCTCTCTGAGTAAATGAGTAGCAGGAAGAGTAAATAGATGTTAAAAAAGCACCTTCTAAGAGGCTCAGTTACCATGAGCCAAAATGCTTCTCATTGGCAAACACTTGGTCAGACATCCTATCCTAAAACTCTGCCTTTTATTTGGACCCGCTAATCTGAAACTGCAATAAAACCCAGTATGTGTTAATGGTCCTTATTTCTCCCCAACTAAACAATTCCCACTCTAGGCCTCTCCCCTTCACAGGGTGCCCTACAAAAAAACTGGCCAAACTTGTATTTCTTAACCTCACTACCTCAAGCCATTATATCTTTGAAAACAAAAGGTTTGATCTTAATTGACAAAAAGGATCCCTTTTCAAAACCCCCTTCCCCAACCCTGAGGATACAAATATTTGGACTCCAATTTTATTTTATTTTAATAAAACCACGCTGGCTTCACCATTAGGAAGAAAACTCGTTTCATACTTCATTATCTCCTTAAGGCTAGCGGATCCTGTTCAGCAACCAAATTGCTTGTACTCCTTTCTTCATCAGAGTGGAATTAAAAGAAAAAAAAGTCTCAAAGTAAAATGTCTGCCAACAGCAGTGAGGCCAAATAAGTCTGTTTAGCCTGGCCCCACACCGCCTAACTTTGTAAGTGGGATAAAGTGTCTCTCCTGCACACAGCTCCTTCTAAACAACCTGCTCCATTTACCCCCAGAGGGGCAACACTGGATGGCTTAGGACGCTACCGGGAGCCTCTGCTGATTTATTTGAGGATGGACACACAACCCAAGGCCAGCCAATCCATTGGTTGGCCAACTTCTATTCAGGTCTATCTTGAATACTTGACATAGCACCCAAACTATTGTCAGTTGGTAGCTGGCCCTTGAGTTGAAAGGTCAGCTGGTACTAGAATAACCATACTGGGCCATGCAACCAGAAGAAAACAAACTGAGAGAGAGGAGAGACAAGAATTTTGCAAAAGTACCAAATCACAAAGCTGCGGCAGAAACTCCAAGATTTAAGAGCCCACGTGGCCCCTGAAAGAGAGAGTGAAGCATGTGCCGCACGTGCTGGTTACGGTCCTGGTCATGGCGGCTTCGTCTCAGAGTGCCTCCACTATTGTTTCTTCAAAATACTCCTTCTACTTGAGCTACTCTAAGCAGGTTTCTGTCTGCTACATCTGAAACAGACCTGACCAGGACACCATCTGACCCTATTTCCCTTACTCCCTATTCTGTATTCTCTGCCTTTGTTAGGAAAATCTTCGGACTATTCCCCATGCCAGCCAGGTTCATAACCTTGTTGCCTGTGGCTTCAGATATATTACTGATTATCACATAATCCCAAAATTTCCCCCTTCCCTCTACAACATCAATATTCCTGGCTGTCAAGCTCTGGAAAGGCATTTCTATGAATGGCCCTGATAGGAAACTTCCATTTTTAGACAGTCCTGGTTAATGGCTGATATCCACTTTCCTACAAATCTTACTCATTGTTCCTGGCTCTATGTTCTGGAATCATGGAGAAGAAATCTACTCCTCTTCCACTCCAGTACACGCTGCACTTGTGACAAATAACACAGCCCCTCTAACAATTTTCCCCTTCCATCTATTACTCCTCATGAAGTGATTTCAAGGCCCCGCACTCCCCTGGTGGCTCCTCTTCCTCTGACATTGCCCCCAACCCCATCTCCGTTTCACCAATTCCTACCCACAGTTAAGTGCTCAGCCTAAATCCCCCTTCCTATGAAATCTGCCCAGGCCACACTCAGAGAGAAGCAGTTCAGTGTAAGGGTCAGCAACCCGGGTTTTGGAATCAGAAGAATGCAGGCTTGGTTTTGTCTTCAATGTGCATTAACCACGAATCCTTGGGCATGCTACCCAATCTCTCCATACCACGATGTCCTGATGTGTACCATCACGGTGCAATACCCCTCTCTCAATGTTGTTTTGCAAGTGGGTAAGCTGACAGTATGTAAACTACTTAGCACACAGAAAGAGCTCAATCAATGGTATCTTTTCATGTATACAAACCTCTCCCTTTTCTGAACTTTGGCTAGGTTTAGTGGTTCAGAGATGATCTTTTGGATCAGACATTATGGTTTGGTAATCAGTTGTATGACCTTGGGCAAGTTACTTCACTTCTGTGTCTCTCCTCTACAAAATGAGGGTACAGATAGTACCTACCTCATAAAACTACTGTTCATGAGGATTAAATGGATTAACATATATAAAGAGCTAAGAAGAGTTCTTGGCACAAGACATCATCATCATCATAGAGGATAGTTATTATCTCTTCAAGATTGAATACTTACATAATACCTGATCCCATGCTTGCAATTCTCCTCAGCTAGTTAATTTACGGCTGAGAAACCATGTTTTATATTTTACAATTCTTGGGTTCAAAACATGTTTGTTGGAAAAAATGAAGGAATCAATGAGGAGCAGACAATCAAAAAAAAAAAAAAATCCTTACTGATATATTCTAGCAATGTCAGATAGTCAAGTCAACACAAAACAAGTAAACACAGAAACCCCATTTGGGGCCGGATATCTACCTGATGGTAAGAGATGGGGACAGGCTTCCGGAAGACTATCCACTCCACAATTTCGCTACATGGTGGAGTGGTCAAAGAACCTGTGTACCGGTAATAGCTGCCCAGGGATGAAGGCAGGAGATCCCGGAGGACGAAAGGATCCAGAAAGGTCTCCTTCTCTGTTTGGGAGAAGAGGGGAAAAAGAAGCACAATGATAAGATGATAAGTCGTACCATGCTGCAGACACACAGTCAAAACCCTCAGCATGCTGGTGCCGTATCACAAGCCTTATGTTTGTTTACATCCTGAGAAGCACTAGCATTTGGTGGTGGGAGGGCCACAGAAAACAAAGCAGTGTTTCCCAAGGTGTGTTCTGAGGCACGATACTGCACTGTATTTCATGAAAAACGGGTTCCATGATGAACAACACTGAACAACACTGCAGTCCCTCCCTCTTCCCCCAGGAAATAGACAAAACATTAGCATATTAAAGTCTCTGAGACGACCTGCAGAAAAGAAATGGGCTTGATTTTGTTTAACCCACTCCTTCCCAATCTTGTTTCACCATAGAACCCTTCTCCATCTAATACGTATGAACTAATAATCAGTGGAACAAACTGGGTATCTGTATGTAAAGAAATCTATAAGCCAATGGTAAAGTGCAATTCCATAGTTGGTTACATCTCATGATGGTTTCATCCAAGGCCTATCCAAATCAAAGTGAAACCTAACCAAGGCAAAACCCTGAACTTATAAAATGATGGCCCTGAAAATAGGCTTCTTTTTATAAAAGAGAAAGGGTCTTCTCTTAAGTAGAAGAAATGACATTTAAGCTGAGACCCAACAAGGATACCTTATAATAACTCTATGAGGAAAACAAGGTATAGAAGAGGTGAGTGCTGGCCCACGGTCACATAGCCCCCAAGTCGCAAAGCTGGGATATGAACCCAGGCACCTTGACACCAGAGCTTGCGTGATTCTGACTCAGCTAAAGAAGGAGCAGAAGTTAACTAGGTGAGGGGCGAAAGAGGAGAAGAAGAGCATTTTAGGCCTTGGGGCAGCATGTGCAAGGGTCCTGAGGCAGTAGAAAATAGTGCAACAGAGATTAGGGCTGTGTTATAATTCTCTCAGTCAGGCTCAGTAGATCATCCAGCACCTTTCATGAATCAGAGAAGGTTCTAGGCCCTACATGGGTCTCCAAAGGTCTAGCCCTGAATTTAAGTCTGGGATTCCTTTCTTATCCTTCTTAGGGATGTAATAAGGTTATTATAGTCCTGCTAATGGCTTGCTTTAGCTCCTTGATGGTCTCCACCACCAGCCTCAGGACATTCCTGGGGGACCTAACAGCTCCAGGTTATTTCATGGACACATCTGTGCCTATAGGAATATTCTTCCCAAGCCTCATACCTCCTTCCTCCTCTTCTTTCATGCAGAGCAACCAGTGCAGGTATTTGGGCAAATGTGTATCTTTCGACTCAAGAGGTCTAAGTAACTGGGGGATAATGTAAAAACCCCAAGAGACATCAACTATATTAGAATAATTAAAATGGCAATTTCCATTTGAGAGAGATTAGTTGAAGAAACATTAACATTTATTTAGCTTTTCCTACATGTCAGGCACTATTCTGAGTATTTACATGTTGCAAACATTTAAACAGCACGTACTATATGTGCCAGGCCCTGTTTTAAGAGCTTTATAAAGATTAATTTATTTAATACTTAAAATAGTTCCATGAAGTAGTCCTATTATTATCATCCCCAACTTACCCCTAAAATGCACAACCAGGTAGCTGAGTTTAGAATCTAGACTTTCGTCATTCTCAACCCATCAGTCTACTCTTTCACTTTACAACCCTATGAAGTATGTACTTTCAATACTTCAATTTTACAGATATGGAAATCAAGGCCCAGAGAGGTTAAATGACTAAGCCCAAGGTCACTAGGAACAGTGACATAGCAGCAGTTATTCATGAGGCTCGGAAACCTTAGCTGATTCTCATATAGGTTTTCAATCCCTTTTTTAAAAGGAAAAACTAAATATTAACCAATAAATGCAAAAGTCTTCCAATCATAGGGTTCTATAATCAAAATGACAAAAGCGGTTTCTGTTGGACAAAAGACGGGAAATAATGGAATTGCCCCTCCGCCCACTGGCAAGTTTGGGCTTTAATTTAAACCTGGTTACGAGCCGCCTAATGATGGGGGAAATCGCTGCAGGCGTGCTTGGCTGGGCCTGGCTTGGCTGGGAGGAGAAAATATTTTGGCCTTTTCTTGCTGCCTCTGCGCTTCCTGGGCTGTGTAAATAGTCAACACGAGGCCCCAAGCGATAGAGGCTGCATAGGGCTTGGCATCACGAACCACAAAATCACCATGTTCATTTCTCCCTCACGTTGTAGGAGAACTTGGTGGCACACTGTGGCACACCAACCCGCCTTAGGATCAAGGGCTCCAGACTGAATGACCAGAAAATCTTGAGCGTTTTCTCCTAGGGGCCTGATCCCATATTAGGGCTGCAGTTGAGCATGCTGTATGCAGCCAGGTGGTGACAAGACAGTTCCTGCAAGCTTATGGCAGCAAAGCCCCCATCCAAAGCACCCGCTTGAGGAAGAGGCTGTGGCTTTAAGGACCATAAAAAGATAAAGCAGAAACACCTGCCCCCGCAATCTGAGGTGGCTGGATTTCAGAAGGGAACACTGCTTCAGCAGGATCAGGACTCCTAAATAAGTTCTTGCAGGTCTCGTGAATTTGGCAGGACTGATGGACACTGCAGGCGTGACCAGTGCTACAAGTGCAGCAGGGCTTCTCTATCCTTGACCAACCCAAGGGCTTCAGAGGCAGGTTCTGGCTTTAACTGATTTGAAGGTGCAATCAGATGGGTGGCGGGTCAGGCAGACCTGGGGAGGGGGACAGAGAAGGAGGGCTCACTGCTTGTTGATCCCACCACCGTCCCTGCCAGTGGATCTTAGGACGCTGAGACCTGGAAGGGCCTTCGACCACTCTAGTTCAGTGACTTCAGGAGCCAAAGAACCCTTTCTTCAAACAAAATCTTACACAGGAGCCAAGCAGCTCGACGTGCAGCCACTGCAGTTGAAGCTGAGCTGGGAACCCAGGGACACTTTGAAAACCACCAATTTAGTTCAATTTTTAATTTTACGCTGGAGAAATGGGAGAACAGGGTGAAATAAGGGACCCCAGGTCAAAAACTCGAGGCGAATACAAAGACTTGGATGGAATTCTTTCTTCAAAGAAACCACTTAGGATCTGGAACAGTTAAGCCTGGAAGCAGGAAACATCCCCTAGTACTGAATACCTACATGGAACCCTTGCCGCATCAGCACCTCACTCCTCCATCCCTACAGAGGTTGGTGAAGAGAGCAGATTCTCGGCCTGCCGGGTTCAAATCCCAACTCCTCCCCTGTGTGATCTTAGGCAGGTTATTAAACCTTCCTAGGTGTTGTGAAGATTAAATAAGTCAATATGAGAAAGGGGTTCAGAAAGAGCCTGGAACATAGTAAGCAAATGATAGATATTATTCTTACTCTAATTCTTATTACTTGTATTATTATTCCTCAAAACTACCAAGGCTTACCCACGTACATCTTACAAAGCCATGTACTTCCTTTAATGTTTGTGCATGTGTCTTATTTTTTTAACTGGATTATTAGTGCCTTAAAGGTGCACGTGTCTGAAAAATTCTCCATCAACCTGAGCAGTATAGGTAAGAGTTTTCTTTGCCAAAGCTCTAGCATGGGCTATGAAATCAACTGACATTTAACAGCTGTGTGACCTTAGGGAACGGTCTTAACCTCTCTGAGCTACTTCTTTTATATGTAAAATGGGATATTTACTGAGAATATTTACCCCTCAGGGTTGCTGTGACAATTAAGCAAGCTAATAGATGGAAGGAGTTTAGACAGTGCCTTGTCAACCTTCATTTATCAAAGCAAGCATTTGGCTGAGAGCAGGCTGGCTCATTTTGTGTTTTAAGCCAGGGATTAGCAAATGTTTTCTGTAAAGTGGCTGATAGTAAAAATTTTAGGCTTTGCAAGCCAGGAGGCAAAATTGAAGATGTTATATAGGTACTTATATAACAAACACATTTCCGCAACCTTGTTAACGATATTCAAAATGCTAATAATAATCGAACACAATTTTTAAAATATACATCTACTAAGAAGAAGAAGAATTCTTGTTGGGGGGGAATCACATTTCACTTAATTAGCATTCGAATGTAAAAACCATTCTTAGCTCGGGGGCGTACAAAAATAGACAGTGGAATGGATTCAGCCCTTGGGCCACATTTTGCTCACTCCCCACCCCATTTTAAGCCAGGTGTTGGGGGGTGGGGAACAAGCGTTAGAAAGTCACCTTGATAGTCATGGCTAGAACGAGGGGGACATGCTAAATGTTCAGGTGCCTCCATCATTACTGATCATTTCTTTTGTGAACACACATTACAGAATTAACTCTTGAGTTGTTTCCTTTCCCCCTAGAATTCTCTAAGTTCCAACCGAACATCAATTTTTAATGATCTTTCTGAAATTCTGTTTCTTACTCAGTCCCATAGGCAGTGCTCCACTGGCAAATGGGGTGCTCATAATGCTTAATTGTAAGTTAGAAATCATTTTGGAAATGGTAGTCCTGTATTTCTAGCACTGCCTGCCAAGCCCGCATAAGCCACAAGGTGCTCCGCTGGCTGGACCTGAGACGGGGAGTTCCTCAGAACAGCCACTGGGAAGAAGGAAGAACGCACTTTTCAGCTGGCAACATAAACTCTTCCATTAAGAAAATCTTAATAAATGCATATGTTATAAAGTGGAGAGAAATGCTAGAGCCGGGCCCCCTGGGCTTGAATCCTAACTCCTTTACTCAAAGGTCTGACCTAAGACAAGCTATGTAGCCTCTATGTAACTGTTTCCTCATCTGTAAAATGGGATTATAATAGTATCAATCACATAAGGAGGTTCTGAGTATTAAATGAATTAACATTAGTTAAGGGCTTAGGAGAATGTCTGGCACAGAATAAGCACATGTAAGTGCTTGTTAAAGAAATCTTGTTATAATAGGGCAGTTTGGCTTCAAACCCATCGTGATCAGAACATTCTGCCTCCAACTTTTATCCTAATTACTAATTTGAATTCAAAACATTCCTATCCCAGCCACTTAACTAGTTGAGAAA